ATTCGGATGTGCACGTACGTGCGTAAGAGTGGGCGTCGTCGTCGTCGTCGTCTAGCGTCAAGCTCTCGCGTTTCAGTTGCTCCCTCGACGAGAGAGATGCATTAGAAAAGTCACACGCATCCGGGGAGACGAATAAATACCCATTTCTCGAGTGCATCGTCCCTATATTCTAGACATTCATTATCGTCGCACCTGATCGCTGGGAATCGACGATTGGCGCAATGGATTCGCAGCAGCGGGTGAGATGGCTTTGGCTTTGGACACTGATACTGACAGCAGTGGTAGCCATCGTCGGCGGCAAAGCTCGGGCCAGCCCGACAGCTGCTGGCGGCGGCAGTGGATTCGGCTTGGAGAATAGCCTATTGTCCGAGGAGCGACGCCAAAACGAGGCTGTCTTCAGATTCTACGAGAACGTCCTCGATATATTGCAGGTACATGCTACGTATTATATATCCATACGATTGTGATTATTGAACTCTCGAGTGGCCGTCTCGGTCCATACGTCTATACCTATATACAATGGGTATATTTTCGACAATAGCGGCGGCTCGTGTATACATAGGTATAGCAGCGATACATGGCATGCATGCATTCGTACGCTATCGATCGACGCTTACGTACACATATAGCCGCGGCTAATAATCCCGCGCTCAGCACAGTAAGAGAGACCTGTTGCTCGCAATTTACGTGCATACTACGCTCCAGGCCTTCTCACGGGCGTATAATAAATATAATATGCATTGATCATCGATTTGTTCCATTGGCCTTTTTGCTCTTGTATAGTGTCGAGTGCCGGAAGAGCAGCAGATAATCAACGCGCGTCAAGCCGACGGCGGAGACGCTTATCTAGCTGCTCGTCAGCCCGTCCAGGACCAGAACTGGAAGAGTCCTCGAGGCCTCGGCCAGATATCCGGTGTGAGCGTCGATCCCCAGGGCAGACCCGTCGTGTTCCATCGCGGCGACCACGTATGGGATTACCAGTGAGTATACATGCATGAATATAATCAAAACAAAATCATGTTGTGTATACAAAAGTATATATATATAATAGTCGCGTCAACGAGACTCGTACGAAACCATCGTCGTGCGTATACAACATAACTTATAGTATAATTGACAGCTGTCGCGTGTCACACGCGCTGACAAATTTGCATCTCTCACTAATTCTTTTTTCTCTCTTAGTTCGCACGCCGGATGACGATGATAAATAAAGAGGCAAATATATCGTCGTATACCCGAACGTATTTAGCAAGTAGGTGCGCGATCAGCAACAGAAGTAGCGGCGACCACTGCTACTATACCTACGCGCCTCATTACGTGCGCATATGTTTGCGCTCGCTCGCGACTTCCACTCGAAATATTGACTCTTCGCTCTCGCCACGCGCAGCAGCAGCAGCAAATATTATATATACTCCTTCCTAATGTTTGCTCAAAATTAACTCGATAATGGTGCGTATGTAAATTTGCATCTCGGAGAGTCCATTGCGTGTATGGCGCTGCTGCTGACGCTGAGGCTACCGTAAGAGTGAGACATTTTACAAAAGAGACAAAAAGTAATCCACCGGATATAATATGTTTGCGCTTGTAATATCCCAAGTTTGCGAGAGAGAGCAAGAGAGAGACTTTGTGTGTGTGTGTGTATACGAGCGCCAATACTGAAAAACTCTCTGCGTGCTTCTACTATATGCGTGTGTTGCTCAGTGTGCAGGTGCTGTAAGGACTAAGGAGGCGTCGAGAGATGAGCTTGACCAATGGCGTGTTTGTAAAAAGCCAAGTAAAAGAGACGTCCATGGTCGAGGCACGAGCAAAAGAAAATCCCTTTCCTTTATATATGCTATATATACATATGAGAGAGCGAGTATAGATGTGTTACCGATAAAAAGGAGCTGCTCTTGAGAGAGAGCGAGTCGTGTGTGCACCGTACTGAGCAGCAACTTCGCGTCTTCTTCTTATTCTTTCTTCTTCCTCTTCTTCTTTTTTGGCTTTGGCGCGCAGAGAAAGAGAGAGAGGATTTATGTGCTTAAAGCGAGAAAAATATCGAAAGGGCCATACACAGTACACAGCATGTATGTGTGTATGTGTGTGCAATTGCAGGCGACGATATAGTCGTTTGCTCGAGCAAGAGAGAGAGAGAGAGAGAGAGAGAGAAAGACACAGAAAAAAATAACCCCCGAGAGTTTTCGCAGAATCGAGAGACTCGGCGTATATATAAACTCGGCCTGCATGAATAATGTCGAATGTATCAAATTTTCCGTTTTTTATTTTTTCGCTTCTTTTTTTTCAACTCGCGTGTCCATCGCCCTTTTGTTTGCTTATATTTGTATCGCGGCCTGCACGATGCTCTCTATACGTGTTGTAATAAATAGCCTCCGTAGCCTCGGTGACAAACGCAAGCAATCGCGTACACGCACATATATTTTCAGCAATTTTATGTCTCCTACGAGCGACAAACACAGAAGCTTATACATTATATATGCGCAGATGCGCGTCCCGTGTATAAGAAAATTTTCGAGGAAAACACCGAGAGACGGTGTGTGCTTATTTGCTGAATGCGTTGACTAGCCTCACATTGTTCAATTTTTCTTTTTTTTTTTTTTTATATAGAATATATATCGTCCGAGTTTCGTGCACGAGTTTTTACGACTTGCGGACGAGCATTGTGTGCCCCGTATATTTTATTATTATGTATAGTATCTTTTCTAGGGCGCGCGTGGACGATTTATCGCGCGCTGAGCGGCATTATTATAATAATATAGTCGCACCACCGTACGCATAAGAAATCGTCAACTCTAGTAGCCCTCGTTTTCGCGCACATGCTGCGACGAAGAATATCATTTTTGACTCTGATTCGACGTCTAAATTCACGCTTGCGAAAGAGTAATTACTTACGGACGATTGACTGCATATAGAGGGCAGCGCATCAAGTGAATCGATGCAGGCATGATTTCGACTGCTATTCAAAGAGAGATCGGTACACACATAAGTCAGGGATTACTTCGAATAATAATATATAAATGCCCTTTTCTCAGCCCCTTCACGCCCGAATCAGTCACGCACGACGATGAGTACGAAAAAAATCTTTCGAGCTCGTATGCTTGTATCTCCTACGTAAAATGAAAAAATGAAAAAGAAAGAAAATAAGAAAAAAGGAAATTTCGCACCTCTATAGTACGTGAGACATTTATATTTGATACATAATATACATCTTCCTTTTGTGCATATTTGCTGCTACGTCGTTGTCGTCTTTGCTGCTATATGCGTACCTGCCTACACGCAAACAGTGCGTTCGACTCTCGCCACCGCTACAGAAGAGCCAAAGCCGGTCCGATTGCCGCGAATACGGTGTTGACGCTTAATCCGGCCAGCGGCGAGATCGAAGACGGATGGGCCAGCGAGACGTTTTACATGCCCCACGGCGTGCACGTGGACACTTGGGGCAACTACTGGCTCACCGACGTGGCTCTGCATCAAGTTTTTAAGGTAAAAGAAGAAACGTATATATACATGAAGAAAAAAATGTCAAAACAATATGTAAAAATGTTGAAAAATTAATCATTGCGATGGAGTTTGGGACTGATTTATTAGATTTCTCGTGTACGTAGTAATGTACGACGTAAACACGAGCAACGGGTTACAATTATGTGGTGTTTTCGTCTTAGGTCAATAGCTCTCACCCGCTTATTGCGTGAGAAAGATACGTGTTAACCAAAAAACTTTCATTTCGACTTTTCAAAGAGATTTTATCTGAAAAGCCGCGCTGTAATTATCATTTTCATTGAGTCTCGCGCCCATTCACAAAACCGCATTAATAATTGAACAATCAAACGAACTTGTGAAGTTCGATTATGATTATTCAAGTTCCTTGTTCGAAAAGATTACTTGGTAGTACTACTCCTTCGACGTAGATGTCGCACTCGTTCAGAGACTCAAAACTTCGTACCATAGGGTGCTCTGCTCTCTATCTCGCCACTACCCGTGGCGCGCTACCGTCATTAAGTTTAAAGTATATTTTCATGGGTTGGGTTGTATTTATACATTTTTTTCCCAAGTTTTTGGGTAAATAAATTGGGTGGGAAAGTAATCTTTTCGAACAAGGAACTTGAATAATCATAATCGAACTTCACAAGTTCGTTTGATTGTTCAATTATTCTACGTTCCTTGTTCTCAAGATTACTTGGTAGATTTTCAGATTAATGAAAAGATTACTTTTGTATGTTGAGAATGTATTTTATGTACTTTAAGTATTTTATTGATTAACATACATTTAAGTATTAATTATTACATTTAAGTATTAATTATCATTACATACATTTGCAGCAAAATTTTCATTTATATTGAGGATAGGTCTGTTATAGAATCGCATAAATACTGAAGAATTTTCGGACCAACCTGCTGCTTTCTTTATGATATTAATATTTAGCCCATTTTTTTGCGCTTTAGACGTGGCCGCGTGTCTGGTTGAATGACCTGTATACTTAGGATCAACCTTACACACTTGTAGGACCGTCTTCAACCATCTACTTATAGTTTGTGATGTAGCAGCTTGGTGTGGTTTCTTAATGGTTATCAATAAATTATCTGCATTTGATCGCAAATTTGCGGTGATCTTTTTGTATTCTATGAGTGTTTTAGCAATACAAATTTCCGGATTTTCATTAAAGAAAGGTATAAGCGCATATGGCTGGTTTTTCCCCACCTTGGAAGTTTTAATCAAATCTTGAATTCTAATTTCTACTCCATCCTTTTTCTCCTTTATTCCATCCAGTTTTATTAATGCAATACTCTGAGCACGAAATCCTGTGCCAAGTGCCAGTAGCATCGTTACTTTCCATGTTATTTTTTCCAAAGAAAGAGATTCTAACGGATGCCATTTTTTTAATTCTGTCAATACTGGAGTTACATCCCAGGTGTCTGAGTACTTTGGAGCAGGGGGCCTTAAACGATACACACCTTTGAAGAATCGTTCCAATTCTTTGGAATTTTGAAGTTCATTGTTGTTCAAGAGTGATATGGCTGAGCGCATAGAATTTAAAGTGCCATATTTAGCTCCTTTTTGCAATTCTTGCGTTAAAAATTTTAGTATGTTTATGCTTTTGTTGCAGAACGAATCTATACTTTCTTTTTTGCAGAACTCTGTCCATTTCTTTAAGGCTGATGTGTATTGTTTAAGTGTGCTCTCTGATAAGGAGTTGATCATTATGTCCACTGTTGATTTTTCATATCCCCTTCTTTCAAAGGCTCGCCTGATAAGGTCCCTGCTATCAACGTCAGCTGTCTGGCCAGCGGATGGTGATCTTTCCTGTTGGATGAAATTAATAATGAGTCTGATGGTTTAAAATAGATTGGTTTTTTTNTTATTTTTTCTTTTACCAAATGTCTTTGAAACGGTTGACCAATCAAGGGTATTTTATAGCCCTTTATAACATTCAGTATAAAGTCATTGTTGGTTATTGATTCCCATTCAGATGAAAACAGGGCAAGTCGTCCTGCGATATTTACCTCATTTATGTTTTCTTCTGCAACGGATGAGACTGGGTGTAATTCCGACGGTAGTTTTGCTTCTTGTTGCTGTTCTGCCTCGGAGTGAATGGTGTTTGTTGATCTTTGCGGGCAAAGTATGACTTCTTGGTTTGGTTCTTCGGACTGCCCACTGTGTTGTTCGAAGAACTTCTCCAGTTTAAAGAACCGGTCATCTTCGTTCCAAGCAAATCTTTTTTTAGGGTTTCAGCTGTTTTAACACCACTGATCAAATCTGTAACCTTGTCGCCAAATAGCAGCTCTGTTGACTCCGCTTTATCTAACACTGCTTTGACTTTCTTTTCAAATGCAGGTGTAATGTAAATCTTGCGAGCAATGTTTAAGCAGCGATATAACTCTGCATTCAATTTTACAGCATCTGATAATGCCTTTAAAATGTTGCTTCTCTCCAAAGGTTCATTTTGGTCGTTCAACACCATGCTTAAAACCGATGATGATAGAGCCAGATTTGCTGCTGCTATATCTTGGTAATGTGCAAAAAAATTGTCACGTTTTATTGCCTCTTCTTTCATGGAGTGCAGAATCTCGGCATTTATTTTAGGCGCTACGAGATTGAAATCCTTATGTTTCCTTGGAATCAGCTCTAAGATTTCCTTCTTCTGCTCCTTAGGCAGTCCTAGACGGAGGTATTCTGACACTCTTAATGCCACGTCGTCGATTAGATCCAATTCGTTCGACGTTTTGTTTTCGCGTAGCTCGCCTAGACAAGAACTCACTTCCTCTTCATTGACGTTAGCTGCTTTGACTGAGGCCTGTTTAACCTTGTTTGGGCTTTGATTTTCCTCGCTGGATTGCGTTGCATCTACGCAAAAACAGAACCAAGACACGTTACGATTAATCACCAAGTCTATGTACTTGTAGTTTTAGGTTACATAACCCCTATTTTTTAGGTGGTCTCTCTCAGCTCTGTCTCTGCTTATACAAGAGCTCAGCTGGCATATATTGCGTAATTCGCGATGATACTTTGCTTGCTTTGCCTCGACTTATGTACGAGTTCAGCATCGTATCCCTTGTAATGAAGGTTATTTTTCAGCTCTGCCTCGACTTGGGTTCGAGTTCAGCTAGATTTGCAGCGATTCGATTACGTATTCGAACTAACCTGATTCGTCAGCATCTGTTGCCATTATGTCATTTTGTTGCAACAATCTCAGCTTCTTTGCCATAGCTGCCATTTCTTTCTCAAGCTTTTCGACCTCTGTGGACCGTTTACGCTTCCTCGGCTGTTTCTCTTTCTCGGATGATAATCCGGAGCTCATTTTATCGTGAATATTGCGACTTAACTCTACGACGCACAAAGGAATAATGACGGTAGCGCGCCACGGGTAGTGGCGAGATAGAGAGCAGAGCACCCTATGGTACGAAGTTTTGAGTCTCTGAACGAGTGCGACATCTACGTCGAAGGAGTAGTACTACCAAGTAATCTTGAGAACAAGGAACGTAGAATAATAAACGATCGAAAAATACCTTTGTGCGGGCACCTCATTAGCCGCAAGCGAATCTTTACGAATGCTTGCATCCTCGCACAAGCCTTTCATAATCATTTGTGCGTTTTTTTTCTGTCGCCATGCGTGTCTCGCGTGCAGTATCCAAGACGCGAGCGCTTCGGAATGGGCGAGCTGGAGCCGAGTCTGGTGCTCGGCAAACGATTCGTGCCGGGCAGCGACGGCCAACACTTTTGCCAGCCGACGGCCGTGGCCGTCATGCCGGAAACCGGCGAGATCGTCATTGCGGACGGCTACTGCAACGATCGGATTCTGGTGCTCGATCCGCAGGGAAAGATGATTGGCCAGCTGCCACCCAAGGGTAACGAAGGTAAATATTATTGCATACTTGTATCGAAAATCGATTTACATTATGCACTCTCGAAGTTCGAGCCAAATATTATAAACAAACGCGCAATTTCATTTCGATTTTTGTAAGTACGTATACAATCGTTCATATTGATTCCTCTACTTTACGTAACTGGATATACATTATGTACCCTTTTTCACATCCCTAAGGCTTCTCTGCGTATAACGTCCTCGGGTAAACCTTTTTAATGCCACTATACATATGTAGATTCGAAAGGAAATAATATTCGTGTTATACATTATAACGACGAGATAAAAATGTTGGTCGTTCTGCGGCCAGGAATCCGGTTTCGAGTGCATTAACGCATATTATAATGCCGGCGTCGTGGTCGTCGTCGGGCGCGAAAGTCAAATTTCGCAGTCGTCGTCGTCGTCGACTCCACTTCGAGCCGATCGTTAAATTGCATTTATACTATATGCTATGGCTCGAATTTAGTGCATTTTAAAGCCTCGATCTTTATTACACCGAAAACGCATAATAATTTCTTTCTCTTTCATTCCATTCCGTTTCATTTCAGATTACCTGCGGCTGAGCGTGCCGCACAGTCTGACGATCATGAAGCGCGGCGACATCTGCGTGGCCGATCGCGAGCACCAGCGAATCGTCTGCTTCAACCTGGCCAGAGCGCTCAGGCCCCAGGAGAGCAGCAACAAGGAGCAGATAATGCTGCCCTGGCTGCCGCTCACGGTGCATCGGCCAGGTGTCTGTCGAATATTTGGCGTTACCTCGCACGGTACTATATATTTTATACCTCTTGGTTATATCGTAGAATTAAGTATATGTGTGTGTGAGCGTTGGTCAGCTATATGTGTGCGTGCGGCTGAAATTAAGTCGTCAAGGAAGGAAGCGATGATAAATCCGTTTCATGTATATACGCGTGTATATAGAAGCTGCGGGATTATCACTCGCTCGAGGAAACGATGGAGCTGAGTTACACAGGCGCGTGCACGACCTGAGACGATTATAATATCGGGTGTTCGCGTGGGAATAATAAGTCAAAGGGGCCAGGTTTCCACAACTTTTTTCGCTATAGCACACACACGCGTACACACTTATACACTTCAATTTCCGAAAAATAACCTCGATAAATCGGCATCCATGCCGATGTGTGCGTACGATAGAAACACGGTAAAAACGAAGCGACGAGGAATTTTTTCCGTGTACGAATTAAAAATTCGCGAAACTCTCCGCTGGCTGCCTCGATGAAGTTGTAAAGATGTATTTATGATTTTGATGATAATCGCCGTATATACGAGCCTCTAAATCTGATCTATCATTTCTTCTTGACAAGGACGCGCGCGCGTCCACGCTCGAGCGCCTGTATATTCATTATCGTTATATTATAAGATTTTTTTCTTGCTTTTTTGCTTTCGAGAAATTCAACTCGCGACGTGTGTACAGTAGCAGTGCGGCATACACTCTCACATACTCACACACGTACACGCATGTATATAAAAACATATTATATATGACGATCAATAAAATATATCTTACGCAGATGACATGTTGTTCGCTGTCAACGGGCCGACTACGTCGAACAATCCAGTTATGGGATTTACGCTCAATCCCGACAGCAAGTCCATCCTGTCCACTTGGGGTCCGACGTTCGACGTAAGCATTATTACTATATGTTTTTGTTCATCATCATCTTTATCTTCTTCTTCTGTTGCTGCTGCTCTTCTTCTTCAAGGATTATTACAATGTCACGTTCACGCGAAAGCTTTCGAGTGCGCGAGAGAAAGATAGAGCCTCGAGGAATTATGGCTCTCGAGCTCGTGGTAATTCATGCGCGCACTTTTCTATCTCGCGCGCGGCTTTATGTGCTCGAATGTATGTACGTACTCTAACGCTCACTCGCGTGGGGCCCTACCGCTGAGACAATTATTGCGAATTATATTATCAAATGCTCGAGTGCGCCCATTACGTCGCTTAAGCGTGGGTCAGCTCGTTGCCTTTTTTTCATTATTATTTTGATTTACGCTTCGTACGTGCGATCCGTGCGTTCATATAAATCTTAATGGAGCAATCGACGCCCGCGTCGTGATTCTTTAATGAGTCAAAATTATAAGCGAGCGTCTAAATCAAATAATCATATACACGCCTCGTCGTTGATGAAAAAAACGTTCTGTATTATTATTTTATATATGTGTATCGAGAATAATAAGAGCGCGCGCGGTCGTCCAAGTGGAATCCGGCCATTTGTATCTCACGCGTCTAATCGAAAAATCCCATCGCAACACATACGCAGCATTTTTTCAAAGCCTTGAAGAACAGAGACAGCACAGCGAAAGAAAGAAAAAAGAAACACAAAACAAAAATAAAATAAGAATCGATGATAATTAGTACGTTTGTCCGATGCAGTCATTCAGCAATCCGCACGAAATAGCAGCCTGTCCCAACGGCACGGCCCTCTACGTATCGGAAATCGGGCCCAACATCGTGTGGAAGTTCCGACTGCTAACGAACTGGAAAATGTAAATTGAGATATAAAAATGGGTGTGCAGCAGTGTGTCGGCGACGGCGGCGGCGGCGTTTATATCGGACCGAGTGTATCGCTGGCATGCCATGCTTGCGCGCTCCATTCTATGATACACACGGTACACATACACACACACACATAAATTTATATACACACAAACACAGACATACACAGGTGAAGCTGCAGAAGGAGCCAGTAGCTGCTGCTGTGTTATATAAAGAAAGAACCTACGGGAGAGAGAGAGAGAGTAACAAGCAAAAAATACATAACATCATCACACGACCGGCTCTATATAAGAGCCTGCGAACGAGAGCAAAAAGGATATCGAGGCAAAGAACGAAGAGAAGCTTGGTGCTCTCCGGCCTATACGTGTGCTATACAATGTGTGTATAGGGCCCTATTATGAGCCTCCGAGTGTGCAGATATATACGTACACCCACTTGCACACGCTATGGTGCAAATTTGTGTGAGTGAAAGACAGAGAGAAACAGAGATTGAGAGAAGAGAGAGAAAAAGAGAGCTTGCGCGGGTAAACACGAAATATATTCGAAATTCAAATGAAATCGAGAGGGAGTATAGTTTCATCTCCGACACTTTCAAACCAGTTTTTCGCTCTCTCTCTCTCTCTCTCGCTCTCTTCGCACATATATAGCTCTCTCTTTCTCTCTGTCTTTTTCACTCGTACTACGCGGGTTTATTCTCTACTTATGCATTTATATGCCTATTTTACCTTTTTTCCTTTTATTTTTTTATTGTTACCTTACGTACATTATGTACCGGATACTCATTTTTATCGCTTGTATGTGTATGTGTGGAGTGCGTGTAAGTACGGGTTTCTTTTGCCGAGTATACGATTATATACATAAATATTGTACTGTAGGCACTTGGTTGTGTCCGCAGCGCGGCGTACATTTATATATTTACGATATTTTACAATTTTATTATAACACGTTCGTGTATTATCGGAGACTGTATTATGGTCACCTCTGCCAATGGAGAACGAGGGAGACAGAGAGACGGAGGTGACATTTGACTGAACGAGTCCTGTGTGCAGCAGCAGCAACAGCACTTCTTGTGTGCGTGTCGTGCTCGAGAGAGTGAATGAGCGAGCTGGCAAACAAAAAACAAATAGATTGAGAAACGAACGTGCGCACGGGATGCAGAGCGGGAGAGCAAAAGTACAATATTATGAATGTAAAAGCTATGTATATGGGACTTTGCGCGCATATATAACTCTCCCCGAGCCGGGGCGAGCAGCTAATTAACTTGCACCGAGCGCGAGTGATATACTACGGCATTTTCTTCGTTCCACGAGTTACATATCCAAAGGGTATTGGAGACGCCGTGCGTTGTGTGCGCACAAATGCAACCTGTGCACTCAAATTGTTGGTATACACCTATATACCTGCTGCACCGTCGCGTCGTTGTGAAACTCGTGTTGTTGTTGTCGTTGCTGCGTGCGTGGTGACTGGTGGCGCGGTGTGTGACTGCGAATGTGCAGTCACGAGACTCTTCTTTTGTTTATTTTTCGTTGTTATCTTTGTTTTTTTTTCAGAAACAATTGAGAGTTTACTTCGGAAGCTCTTGTCACTATGGACTGGTATTATATTGTCATGCAAAGGACGGATTTATCAAAAAAAATAAGTAAATAATGATAATAATGAATTAATAAATAAGTAAAGGTGCTCGATGCTATCCTCAATAATCAAGTCTGTATAATTATAGCGCTTAACTAAAAAAAAAAAAACATTATTGATGTCTTATTCCGTCAATTTTGAAAGACAGAAACTTCTTAGTCAATCGCGTTGAATATCTCTGGATTCAAGGCGTGTGCCCATCCATTAAAATGCTACGTATACGAGTATAATTGCGTATGTCCTTATGGAACAAAAAGCTCAAATAATAGAATATTGTACTATCCCATATATAGCTTTTGTACTGTG